CACAGTGTACAGAGTGGACCAGTGTAGAGTATACAACATATAGCACAGTGTACAGAGTGGAGCACAGCGAGAGTATATAACTTAAAGCACAATGGGGAAGGCTTCCCTGAAGAGATGGGTTTTCAGGGTGCGCCTAAAGGAGAGGAGAGTAGGTGATAATCTGATAGGTTGGGGCAGGGAGTTCCAGAGGATGGGTGACACCCTGGAAAATCCTGGAGGTGGGCATGGGAGGAGGAGACCAGGGAACTAGAGAGAAGGAGGTCTTGTGAGGAGCGGAGTGTGCGTGCTGGGTGGTACTTGGATATTAGGTCAGTGATGTAGTACAGGGCAGTATGGTGGACAGCTTTGTACGTCAGTGTTAGGATTTTGAATTTGATCCGTTGCGCAATCGGAAGCCAGTGGAGGGATTGGCAGAGGGGGGTGGCGGAAATGGAGCGGTTGGAAAGGTGAATGAGTCTGGCAGCCGTATTTAGGATGGACTGAAGCGGGGTTAGATAGCCAGCGGCGAGGCAGGCCAGTGAGGAGGGAGTTGCAGTAGTCGAGTCGTGATATGATGAGGGAGTGGATGAGCTGTTTAGTGGTTTCTGGGGTTAGGAACGCGTGTATTTTGGCGATGTTGCGGAGGTGGAGTCTGCACGAGTTTGTTAAAGATTGGACTTGGGGCTAGAAGGATAGGTTGGAGTCCAGAATGACACCAAGTACTCTGGCCTGCGGGGGGCGGGTTTGATGGTGGCGTTGTTGGATGTGACGGAGAAGTCAATGGGGGGTGGTGTCCGGGCTGGGGGGAAGACAAGAAACTCGGTTTTGGAGAGGTTCAATTTAAGGAAGTGGAGCGACATCCAGTCTGATATGTCGCTCAGTAGGTGTGTGATTCGGGCGGAGATCGAGGGGGTGAGGTGGGGGGTTGAGAGATAGATTTGTGTGTCGCCGGCATAGAGGTGGTAGTTGAAGCCGTGAGAGTGTATGAGTTGGCCAAGGGAGGAGGAGTAGATGGAGAAGAGAAGGGGCCCGAGGACAGAGCCTTGAGGGACCCCAACAGAGAGGGGGAGTGAGGGGGAGGTGGTAGCGCTGAAAGAGCATTGTGACAGGTAGGATGAGAGCCAGGAGAGAGCAGAATCTCTGAGGCCGAGGGAGTGTAGTTTTTTGAGGAGGAGGGGGGGGTGGTCGACTGTGTCGAAGGCCGCAGAGAGGTCAAGGAGTAGGAGCACTGAATAGTGGCCATTAGCTTTGGTGGTTAGCAGGTCGTTGGAGAGTTTGAGTAAGGCAGTTTCGGTGGAGTGTAGGGGATGGAAGCTGGACTGTAGGGGATTGAGGAGGTTGTTGTCGTTGAGGTGAGAGCTTAGGCGGGTGTAGACTAGGCGCTCAAGGAGTTTAGATGTAAATGGGAGCAGGGAGATGGGTCTGAGGTTGTTTGGGTCATTGGGGTCCAGGGAGGGCTTTTTAAGTATGGGGGTGATGTGTGCATGTTTCAGAGGAGAGGGGAAAGTGCCGGAGGAGAGGGAGAGATTAAAGATGTGGGTGAGGGAGCGTAGGATGGAGGGGGAGGGAGGATTTGTGAGGGGATAGGGTCGAGGGGGCAGGTGGTGAGGCGGGCATCAGAGAGGATCTTGGAGACTTCCTCGATGGTAGTAAGGTCAAAGATGTGGAGTGTTGGGGGGGCTTCAGTGTGAGGAATGTAGGGTGGGGTGAAAGTGGAGGTCAGAGCAGTGGTGGGGCCGTGGGAGAGGGGTGATGAGGGGGTAGTTGAGTGAGGGGGAACGGGGTTGGAGGGAGTTTGAGCAGCGACGAAGTCCCTGCGGGTTATGTCGAGGGAGAGGGGGGATGAGGGGGTAGCTGTGTGAGAGGGGACGGGTTGAGAGGGCGTGTGAGTTGCGGCGATGTCCTTGCGAATTGTGTCAGTCTTGTTTTTGAAGTGATTGGCAATCTCAAGGGCAGTGAGTGAGGTGCTGGGTGGAGGTGGGGGTGGCGAGAGTAGAGAGTTGAAGGTGGAGAAGAGTCGGCGAGGATTGGAGGAGAGGGCCTTGATGAGGGTCAGGAAATAGGCTTGTTTGGCTGCGTGGAGGGAGGAGGTGTAGGTGTGGAAGGCAGATTTGTAGAGGGTGCAGGCTTGTTGGGATTTGGTTTTGCACCATAGTCGCTCCAGGGCACGACTGTGTGGTTTGAGGGTTTTGGTGTGATCAGTCTGCCAGGGCTGGAGCGGTCGGGGTCTGATGTTGCGTGTGTATATAACTTAAAGCACAATGTACAGAGTACGGCAGTGTAGAGCATATAACATATAGCACAATGTACAGAGTGGAGCACTGCAGAGTATATAACATACAGCACAGTGTAGAGTGGAGCATTGTAGAGTACATAACATATAGTACAGTGTACAGAGTGGAGCACTGCAGAGTATATAACATACAGCACAGTGTGCAGAGTGGAGCATTGTAGAATATATAACATACAGTACAGTGTACAGAGTGGAGCATTGTAGAGTACATAACATATAGTACAGTGTACAGAGTGGAGCACTGCAGAGTATATAACATACAGCACAGTGTGCAGAGTGGAGCACTGCAGAGTATATAACATACAGCATAGTGTACAGAGTGGAGCACTGCAGAGTATATAACATACAGCACAGTGTAGAGAGTGGAGCAGTGTAGAGTATATAACGTACAGTACAGTGTACAGAGAGGAGCAGTGTAGAATATATAACATACAGTATAGTGTACAGAGTGGAGAAGTGTGGAGTGTCTAACATACAGCACAGTGGAGATTTACTAAAACTGGAGCACTCAAAAACTGGAACAGCTGTTGATGGCAGCCAATCAGCTTCTAACATCCACTTGTTCAATTAAGCTTTGATAATAAAACCTGGAAGCTGATTGGTTTCTATGCAAAGCTGCACCAGATTTTGCACCATACAGTTTTAGTAAATAACCCCCATAGTGTATATACAAAGTAGTAGTAGTAAATAACAGAGTACAAAGCACTGTGGAACTATTCATACAATGTGTTTAGAAATGGAGATAAGAGTTTTGTCATTGTCCTTTAGACTCACAATATGTGGAGAAAGATGTACATTTGCTATAACTGCTGCTTGCATTTAAAATCATTTAGCATAAGACATTCATTTTAGAGCTTAAAGTTATACTAAAGCTTCCCATTAAAAAAACAAACAAAAAGAAAACCATGTCATTCTTTCCTGCTCTGCATAATGGTTTTGCAGAGAGCAGCCCTGATCCTTCTCTTCTCAGGTCCCCCGCCGGTGCTCCTGGCTCCTCCCACCTTCTGAGTACCCACAAAGTAAGCTGCTTGCTCTGGGGGCACTCACACATGCTCACTCCCAAGCCGCCTCTGTGTCTCTATAAGACACTCATAGCACAGCTTGGCCCCGCTCTCCACTCTCCTCTCACTGGCTGTGATTGACAGTCTTGGAGGCCAGTGGCTCCCACTGCTGTGTCTCAGCCAATAAGGAAAGAGAGTCCCTAATGCACAGCACTGGATCGAAGTCACGGTGAAGTTAGTATTAAGGGGGCTGAAGGGGGAGCTGCACACTGAAAGTTTTTTTTTACCTTCATCCTTTAAACCACTTTAATTACCTAATGTAGCAGCATGAAGGAAAGTAAATGGCTACTTAGCCTCTTTCAACTCTCTCACTGTTGCATACAGTAAATGAGACACTGGAAGCCATTGTACATGCTTAGTGGCTGCACACAGACAGAAGGTTATATAAGGGTATAAAGCTGCCATTCTCAGCCAGGGTTTTGTGGAACTCTAGAGTTCCTCCAGAGGTTGCTAGGGGTTCTATAAGCTGTGGCTGATTGACCTTCCATCTGTTAGTGCTTGCATAGTGGCATGAAACCAAGGATATTTTTTGCTGTCTTAATGGTGGCATTCCGATCATCACAATAAAGGGGGAAGGGGAACATCCCACTGACCATCAGTGTAAGGCACTTTTTTCCCACTGACCACCAATGTAAGGATCATTCTTCCCACTGACGACCAACCTAAGGAGCATTTTTCCCAGTAATCACCAACCTAAGGATCATTCTTCCCACTGACCACCAACGTAAGGAGTGTTCTTCCCACTGACCAGAAACTTAAGGAGCCTTCTTCCCACTGATCACCAACGTAAGGAATGTTTTTCCTGCTGATCATCAACGTAAGGAACATTTTTCCCACTGACCACAATGTAAAAAGCATTTTCCCCACTGATCATCAACGTAAAGAGCATTCTTCCCACTAACCTCCAACCTAAGGAGCATTCTTCTCACTGACCTCCAACCTAAGGAGCGTTCTTCCCAATGACCACCAACGTAAGGAGCATTCTTTCTGCTGACCACTAACGTAAGGAATGTTTTTCCCACTGACCATCAGTGTAAGGAACGTTTTTCCCACTGACCATAATGTAAGAAGAAATTCTTCCCACTGACCATAATGTAAGAATAAATTCTTCCCACTGACCATCAACATAAGGGGCATTCTTCCCACTGACCACCAATGTAAGGAACGTTTTTTCCACTGACCATAATGTAAGAAGAAATTCTTTCCCACTGATCATTAACATAAGGGGCATTCTTCCCACTGACCATCAATGTAAGGAACGTTTTTCCCACTGACCATAATGTAAGAAGAAATTCTTCCCACTGACCATCAACATAAGGGGCATTCTTCCCACTGACCACCAATGTAAGGAACGTTTTTTCCACTGACCATAATGTAAGAAGAAATTCTTCCCACTGATCATTAACATAAGGGGCATTCTTCCCACTGACCATCAATGTAAGGAACGTTTTTCCCACTGACCATAATGTAAGAAGAAATTCTTCCCACTGACCATCAACATAAGGGTCATTCTTCCCACTGACCATCAATGTAAGGAACGTTTTTCCCACTGATCATAATGTAAGAAGAAATTCTTCCCACTGACCATCAACATAAGGGGCATTCTTCCCAGTGACCACCAATGTAAAAATCATTGTTCCCACTGACCATCAATGTAAGGAGCATTCTTCCTACTGACCTCCAACCTAAGGAGTGTTCTTCCCACTGACCACCAACCTAAGGAGCGTTCTTTCCACTGACCACCAACCTAAGGAGCGTTCTTTCCACTGACCACCAACGTAAGGAACATTCTTCCCACTGACCACCAACGTAAGGAATGTTTTCCCCACTGATCATGAACATAAGGAACATTTTTCCCACTGACCATAATGTAAGAAGAAATTCTTCCCACTGACCATCAACATAAGGGGCATTCTTCCCACTGACCACCAATGTAAAAAGCATTGTTCCCACTGACCATCAATGAAGGGAGCATTCTTCCTACTGACCTCCAACCTAAGGAGTGTTCTTCACACTGACCACCAACCTAAGGAGCATTCTTTCCACTGACCACCAACCTAAGGAGCGTTCTTTCCACTGACCACCAACGTAAGGAACATTCTTCCACTGACCACCAACGTAAGGAATGTTTTCCCCACTGATCATCAACATAAGGAACCTTTTTCCCACTGACCATAATGTAAGAAGAAATTCTTCCCACTGACCATCAACATAAGGGGCATTCTTCCCACTGACCATCAATGTAAAAACCATTCTTCCTACTGACCATCAATGTAGGGAGCATTCCTCCAACTGACTGTTGATAAATTAATTTTAGTAGTGGTTCCCTTAGACCTAGAAATTATTTCAAAGGATCTCTTGGGGTAAAAAGGTTGGCATAGGCTGGTATAAAGTGTGAACTGCCAGTCAGTCACAGTCCAATTTTTAGCCTTTCAGTAAACTACTTTCCTGCAGGAACTGGTTGTGAAATGTACCCACAGACTATTATAGTCTAATTTTACTCTGGATAATAATAGTACTTGCAAACCTAATAAAGATTCCTCACTGAAATCTTTGAAAGCATATTATTACCATTTATAAGAAAACATAATTATATCAGCTGAGCAATAAACTCTTAGTAAGTCATTATAAATTGCTGGTTATCAATCTAATACATGTACTGTATATTGTAATCTTTACCGGTCTTTACGCTTAAGCAAAAAAAGTGGTTTGTATGTATGACTTTACATATACAGTAGTTGTGAACACAAACTATGGTAGGTCAAGCTAAGTGGAGCCAATGAAACTGCTGGTATAGTTTTATGTAAAAATACCCTGAAAAAACACCACAAAATTAGGAAGTAAATACTAACTCCATGCAGATAGTGTCCTTGTGAATTGAACCCAGTGCTGCAATTCCACTTTTTAAGATAATTTGTTGCTGGTCTGGTGTATCTGTCAGTATTTTCTGCAACAGGTGCTGACGCCTCCTCTCCCTTCCTTTTGTTAGTGGTGTGTGGCATCCTAGGTAGGTATCAGGGGCGGACTGACAACTCACTGGGCCCCCGGGCAATAGGGGATCATGGGGCCCCTGTGTCCTTGCCCAAACTCAAAAAGACCTATGAAAAGGTACCAGGGGCATCTCATGGGGCGCCCTACTGACCCCGGGCCCTCGGCAGTGCCCGAGTTTCCAAATGGTCAGTCCGCCCCTGGTAGGTAGGCAATGACCTGACATGGAGAATCAGTGTATACCAGCTGTTCTTGGAGCATGGGTCACACATCTGGAAACCAGTGCTGGCTCTCCTAGCTTGGTTTTCCAGCACACTCGAGGGACCAGCAAGGGTACCAGGCTCAGAACACCGGCTGCAATATCTGTAGGCCTTCCAGGATGGACTTATCTAAAAGTCTAAATCCATCAAGTGCTAAAGACAAGATGGGTAGACAGGCTGTCTATTACTGGTGCTGCTGCAAATGATTATCCACATGCTATATGTGTTCATCAGCAGCCTGGAGAAAACTTGTCCACAATCTATTTTATTTTTATTTATTTATTTTAGGTATTTATATAGTGCTGTCAATTTACACAGCGCTTTACATATATATTGTACATTCACATCAGTCCCTAACCCTCAAGGGGCATACAATCTAAGGTCCCTAACTCACATTCATACACATACATATACTAGGGCCAATATAGACAGGAGACAGTTAAGCTAACAGCATGTCTTTGGAGTGTGGGAAGAAACTGGAGTACCCGGAGAAAACCCACAGAGACACAGGAAGAACATGCATACTCCACGCAGGTGGTGCCATGGTTGGGATTCAAACCAGCAACACTAGTACTGCTAGGCAGAAGTGCTAACCATTTAGCCATTGTGCTGCCCTAAACTATTTATTAACTATTTGAAACCTGCAAGCATTATGCATAATTGCATTAAGTGAGGGCTGATTCATACTTTAGAGCTCCATTGTTATATTGCACATTAAAGCAGTAGTACGAGGAGAAAGATCATAGGTATAGAATGGAAAATTGGAAAGAGAAGTGAAGAGTTATATGAACCGGGGTAAATTATTAGGGGGATTGGGTGGGGGGTTGTGGGATGGTGGGATTGCAAAAATTTGAGGAATAGTTGTATATTGGATGTAAATGTTATTTGGCGGTGCTTTTGTAAAGAAAATAAAAGTTTAATAAAAGATTTAATTAAAAAAAAAAAAATTAAAGCAGTATTAAACCTAAAAGCAAAAGTTTATTAAAGTGCAGCTTACCAATTCTTAGAATGTGATAGCTACATTCATTTTCTTTTTTTTAGGCTTTCTATCTTCTCTAGTCATATGGCAATCTGGCCAGCAAGTCTGTTGTTTTTCAAAAGCTCATGGTCTACATCATAACGTATCGGTTTACATGGATGAGACAAACCATTCAACACTGGCAAGGGTGCTTAAAATGAGCAGCTTTTATTTCTTCATGTGATACCTTTATCCCAAATAGAAAAATAAATGTTGCTGTAACTGATTATAAAGAGTGAGGTGGAGTTTGGCTTCAATTAATTAGTGTATTTAAATCTGCTAGAACATTTAACACTCCCTTCTTCCCCAGACTGACAATGCTGTTGAGTGCTGTGCCTCCTGCGTTCATTCAGCCTGAGAGGAGACACTCTAATAAAGAAGGTGTGTTACTGGCCAGATCACTGAGGGAAAAAGCCAAAGGAAAGAAAACTGATACAGCCACGTCTAAGGATCGGTGAACTGCAATATATTACATTTTTGTTTTTTGGGTTTATAACTGCTTTAAATTTCGTAAAGGCAGCCCGTTCATTATGAATCTACTACCAATTCTCGACAACGGATCAAAAAACACATATGAATTTTTTTTAGCAGCACCTGCGTTGTGGTGTGTTGTGCTCTACTGTACAATGAATTGGGGTTCCATGCAGAATGAATGGTATCGCAATGCATCTCACATGAAACAGATGCATTGCCATGTGTTTTATTGCCACAGTCCACAAGTGTAAATGGGCCCTTAGAGATTCTTCACATTTGAGTGTTAAAATCCAGTGTGGTTTAGGTGCATCATAAGGGATTCATGGGGGACCTACTATCGCACTCTATATAAAGGACCATATCCACTGTTAAAAATGCACGTAGTTTGCTTCTGTTGTGCATGTTGTGGGCCGGGGGAAAAATCTGAAGGTTGCAATCTGCAAAAACTAAAATAATGAAGATCTCCTGCGCTACTATTACGTGATAAATTAGGTGAGTGGGAGCTGCAAGCACCTAACCATATACCATGTGGAAATAAAAACGAACGAAACCAAATTGATGCAGCGCTACCCTAATAATAAAATAATACAATATGGCAAAAACAAACAAAGTAACATAAATATATATATGTGACAAAAAAATCAGTGGATTGATCCTCTCTGGGATCTCAATATAAAGTGACATAATATATGTATACGTGCCGTACATATATTTTATGTCACTTTATATTGAGATCCCAGGAGAGGATCAATCCACTGATTTTTTTGTCACATATATATATTTATGTCACTTTGTTTTTGTCATATTGTATTATTTTAATATTAGGGTAGCGCTGCATCATTTTGGTTTTGTTAATCTGCAAAAACTCCAACCTACAAAAATGCATAGAAGCAAAAAAGAGTGAAATTGAATGCAACAGCACAGACACCTTGCTGTTTCTGTGCAAAACTGTAGCATGTAGTGGTTTGGAAGCATACTGTCATAACACACTGCATATAACTACATAGGTCTGAACTCCCTAATTGGCAGTTATTGATCGCTGCCCTTAACCACTCCGAAGAGACTGAGCCCTAAAGAAAGTTTGTTTACAGTGATCAACCTCTTGTACCATTGCAGTACTTTACATACAAGTGTGACAATGCTGAAATTATTGATTGAGCTAGAATAGAAATAGTTACAGTATAAAGAGACAAAGAAACCTAGAAGAGTGATGGCAGATAAAGACCAAATGGTCCGTCGATTCTGCCCAGGGCTGCTGTTAGAAACCCCAAGCAGCCAATCTGACAGGGCCCCCAATCACGCACAGTTTACTATGTTTCAGTTATGAATGTTCATAGTGCGTGATTGGTACTGATCACTCATTGTGTTCATTCAGGGAAGAAAGGGGCTGGTAAATGTGACATATTTACTTGACCCCTCCCACACTCTCCATCCTGAAGGATCCTATTGTGTGCTTGCAGCTGCCAGTGGGAAGGAGAGGAGGGAAGGCGGCAGCACTTTGGGGATGGGGGCACATGGGGCGTGGGCAACAGGGGGAAACGTATACTGCACAGGGAGGGTAATGGGTTATGGGTGAGGCTGGAGAGCAATTACTGAACCTGAAAGTTAGTCGGGTCCCTGCAGCAGCTGCTGACTCTGACAGTCTGAGTGGCGTGATCACTCGCTGGCCACGCCACCTCTCAGCACTGACCAATCTGCGTTTGGATTTTTTGCTGTAATACAGTATTTTGTTGCACCACCGGGCGGCCTGGGACATTGGCAAATTATCCACAACAGAGGTCAATTTTCAGGATTCTGCCTGGGACAATCGCAGCGTGGGACATGGGTCACATTTTTGGGACTGTCCCGGGCAATTAGGGACTATTGGCAACTTTGGATCTAATGTGCTTGCTCCCCTTCATTTGGTTTAGATGAAATCATATAAAGACAGAAATGGAGAGTATCTTATTGCTTAAAACCATCTGGGACCTCTTTCCTCCTGACGGTGACCCCTCTAGAGATAACTAAAGATCTATATAGAGGAATCAATACCTCCTTCCTCCTGACAATGATTCCTCTAGTAATAACTAGAGATCTACAGTATATAGGGAATCAAGGCCTGCTGCCTCCCACTGGTGATCCCTCTAGTAATAACTAAAGATCTATATACAGGAATCAGGACCTCCTGCTGGTGACCCCTCTAGTGATATCTAAAGATTTATATACAGGAGTCAGGACCTCCTTCCCCCTGACAGGGATCCCTCTAATGATAATTAAAGATGTTTATAAGGGAATAAGGACCTTCTTCCTCCTGCTAGTAATCCCTTTAGTGATAACTAAAGTTCTGTGCAGAGGTATCAGGGCCTCCTTCATCCTGCGTATCCCTCTAGTCATACTTAAAGATCTATATAGAAGAACTAGACCTTCCTTCCTTGCGATGATGATCCCTCTAGCGATAATTAAAAATTGTTATAGGGGAATCAGGACCTCCTTCCTGCTAAAGGTGATCCC